CTACCTACCTACCTATCATCTACCTACCTACCTATCTATCTGTCTGTCTGTTTGTTTGTTTACATCAATAGAAGTCACATGGACATGCTACATCCCACTCCTTTGACTCAAAACATTCCTGTTAGTTCAACTCAACCTATATTTAGAACCAGTCTCTCTCTCTCTCTCTCCCTCTCTCTTTCTCTCCTTCTCTCTCTCTCCCTCCTTCTCTCTCTCTCCCTCTCTCTCTATATCTAATTCTCTCTCCCTCTTTCTCTCCTTTACACACACACACACACACACATTCACAGGGCAAGGTGTGTTCAAAGTCTCAAGAACATATAAATCTCACATCACCTTTGGATTTTTCCATTATCCAATTCTACTGATAAGATCCAGGTTTAGAATCATAGATTCATCACTCCTAATGTATGCTGCGTATTTAGTTCTGGATATTTTATATAATAATTTTGTATTTTCTTAACAATTAATATTACATTTTGAGTAGGTACATTGATTTCTACCATACTTTAAGCCATTTTTAGCAAACCACCAAATAATTTGCTATACATATTTTTACATACTTTATATAACTTTAGCTACACCGTGTCTAACTTTTGGAGAACATGTAGAAGTGTATGGCAAACCTAATGTGACTAATTAGTCGTGTTTTTGGAGATAATATTTGATTGAAAGACTTTTTGCATCAAAAGTGACTCTTACCTTGATAAAAAGTGTGACCTCATTGTCGGAGCTTTTTGATGATGAAGAGGAGGAAGAAGAGGAACTGCATGATAACTTTCTGCCATCCACGTCCCCCCCTGGTGGCCCGCTCAAATCATGGAAGCTTTTCTTCCCCTTAACTTTTTCCTCTTGCTCCACCTTATCACTCCAATTTTTTGACTCTTTGTTGTCTTTGTCCTCCGGGTCTGAGGAGGAAGAAGACGAAGAGGAGGAAAAGCTACCGCTCCTCTCCACGGAGGGAGCCCACGAGGGCAGAGGTGGAGGAGGTGGTGGTGCACCACTTCTGGCAGGCCCAGTGTTTTCATACAGGTGTATGAGGTCTGAGGGCTCTTCATAGGTCAGATCCAGTTCTCCTAATGTCTCGTTCTCATAGTACTGCGGGGATTCGTACACCTCTGCCATCCTGGATATGGACATAAAGCTGAGGATGATCTGGGACGGGGAAGGAGGAAGGAGTGACAGTAATGCCAACAGTACCTGCTTTATCAAAAGCACTCAGGGACTTTGGACAGGGATGGGATGAGGAGATCATAAAAGAAGAAATCCACCTTTGCTGTAACAATCATTCTCTCCACAACAACAACAACAAAAAAAAAGGACAAACACAGTGAAAGGGTCTATGATATCCTAGGAAATTGATCTTTCTGATCCTTCTCAGCTTCCTGACACCAGATTTACAACTTAACATTGAAAATTTAAAGTAGACTGCAGTGAATCAACTCTCTGGAATTTGGAATTGATTTCCATGAGCCAGGCATTGTTTCTGCTGTTGGTCATGCTTTTCTTTTTCACACTAACAATCGTCCATTATTTTCGGTAATGTTTTGGAATACCTGTCATTAACCAGAAATGCAGTTTTCAAGTTATATGAATATAAACTGCAGGTGATAAGTTATTTATACGATTTTAATTTTAAACAAGAATTACATTTGTTTTCTTATACTTTAACAAAGCTCCGCCCCAAATAGTGCTAATTCAACGGAAATTGACTACTCGAGGTCTTATGTCAAGTTCACCTTAACAAGGGAAATGGTACGTCAAAATAAGAGGTTTATGTTTGGAAAAACATTCACATAATAATAATAATACACTCTGAACATGTTAATGTCGAAAGAAACACAGTTTTTTTTACTTTAACGCTTTAGTAACATATGTGATTAGGAGGTAAATATAAACGTTGGTCATTTCAGTTGAAGACAGCTATACTTTATTTAGTTATACCGGAAATTGGTAGTCGACACCAAAGCTAACTTGATGACACGTCTGCCTGAGGTCGTTTAAGGAAATCCATTCATATTGGAGGAGAGAGGAAAAGCGTTACAGTTTTCACTTGTTAACGGTGGAAGAATCGTCGTTGTCTACTGTCTCACAGGTAAGTCATGCTAACTCACCTAGCCACTGACACAGAAGTAGAGGAGACGTTAATTATTGTTATTATCTTTTACTATTTAACATGAGAACGCCTGCTGGTCTACTTCCTTATTTCTTACATTTTGTTTTTTTCTTCGCTTTCGTCGCCACAGTCTATTTAACATATTTATACAAACTCGGAATTGTACATTTTACTCACTAGAATTAATTAACGCGAAGATAAGTTACTTCAGGAAAATGGCAACAAAAATGAATTTATCAGTGAACAGCCAAATGTGCTTTTTTTGACGGATCAAGGGGGAGGAGATATTTCAAACATTGAACGGAATTAAAATTAGAATTTTAGTTGCAAATATTGTTTGGTATCTATTTTATTTTTTAACTTTTGGACACTTTAGATATGTGGACATTTGAGATATTTATCTTAAAACTTATGTTTAACATCTAATTGTGATGTGAGATTCGTATTGGTCCTGGTCGATTTTGTCATGTATATGTTGGAATTTGCTTTTTATTGGGTTTTTTATTTACGTTTAACAGCATGGGCATGAATGAGAATGTGTTGCGTTGTGATGTATCATGTAATGAGATTTTGGCACAGGACATTTTGCCGTTGTTTGATAAACGAATGTGTAATGGTCATACATTCCCAGCGTTCAACAGCCGTTCATTGTTTTCCTGCGACTCTAAGGGACAGCAAACACTGTAGCCTAGCTTGTTAAAACACACAGTAACAGGTACACTAACACGACGCGTATGTATAGCCCTGAAGCAGTGAGGTTATTTACTCTACATAAACACGGTATGACTAGTAAATAAACCTGTTTAAACTGGTGGGTCATTTTGCACTTTATCTCTACAGACTGACATCAAAATGTTTAACTTGATTTATATAATAAAGGCTATCTTTTGCTCAACATTTCTTTGATTATTCTTATTCCTATTTTTGGTTTTATTTTTGTACATGTATCAATAATCAGCACTCATTAGATATATCTGGGTAAATGATTACACAGGACAATTATACTTGATAATAAAAAATAAAAAAACAAGACAGTTTCTAATTAAATAGATTAGAGTGAATCAAACAAATGTATTTTACTATTATGTTTTAACAATGTTAGATTTGATTGGATTATATTATATTCGAAAAAAGTAGACTATAAATTTCTGGTTTAGTGCCCTTACAAGTGATGGCCCGTGGACCATAAGTGGACCAGTCACTTTGAGAAAAACTCAGAGAGAAATATAAACAAAACAAAGACAATAATTATAAAGCAATATTTTCTAAAATACTATAGTACAACAGACCATAAATGCGACACTCACATTTTGCCCAGCAACAGTGCAGTACATCGTGGTGCTTCTGTTAGTGCTACCTACATGTTGCATTTTCCAATACTCAGCAAATGATCTCATCTCCATCAAGAGTCAGTGATGCGTTGACAGGTTCAGTGGTGAAGGTTAAAGAGAACTTCGGCTGTTATAGGACGTAGTCCCCACCTCCATTGACAACTTTCATTCATACTTGTAAACATCCTACGTAGGACCCAGGTACCATATTAATGGGTGTGTGAAAATCAGGTCTGATCTTCTGCACCAGTTTCCCAGCATTGCTGCGGTTGCAGGATTCATCATGCTCAGTAGGTGTGGATCAACAAATAGATGTATGTCTAAGTCAACTTTGTTGTCAATTTCTTCACATGTACTAGAAATACAAAGGAATCAAAATTACGTTTTTCACTGTCCCATGTCTGAGCTCTTTGCATATACAAATACTGACTCAGTACTGACAGGACTCTTCACCACCACCTCAGCGAGAAAGAATTTTATTTTTCTGTCCCCTCCCACTAAGTAAATCAACAAGGGCACTGCATGTGTGGCTATTATATAAACAAACCCTCGACCTGTGTGCAATGTTTTCCTGTACCTGTTTCATCTGTGGTACTGTTGTTGCATGTCAGTGGTTTTTTTTTATTCATTTAATTTTGAATTTTATGAACTTTTTTCATAAAAATTCTTGTATTATCGGCAGATGTGCTGCAACAGGCTGTTGTATTATCGGCAGATGTGCTGCAACATAATATAGATATGATATAGTATTGTTATTCATATCAGGTCTGAAACAGTGTGACCCTAAATGTTTCATTATTTATTTATATTGTAGAAATACTGTACTGTACTAGATTCTGGTTGGTCATAGGTCTGTCTGTTTGTATTTTTGTGTGTGCCTGATGATGACAAAGTGTAAATATGTGACAGAGGGGTGTGTTTGAAAATATATGACGCAGTTGTAAAAGGCAAACAATAAATGCCGTTTGTTTCTGTGTTTCCATGTATTCATTTGTTTTGTTTTAAACTCTGTAAATAGGTGCGGTTTATGAACCAGTGAAATTGTCTGGCTCAAGTTCATAGTTTGAACCTCAGAACCAACTAAAGCCTTCATTAAATAATCCTGGACTAGAGAGAGAACTAATTAACAAATTAGTGTTGATTAGACCAGCTTACCTAATGTAGTTAGATTATCAACACTAAGCTTTGATATTATTTTGTATGATAACATAGTACAGTATATTTCAGTTCAGATCCACAGGTAATTTATACTAAATCACCTTCTTATTTTGATAAAACTGTCTTCATGTTAAAGTGATCTATTGTCACTGTGACACAGCACACCACTGCACACAACAAAATGTGACCTTCACCTTTGTGGGCAGGGGGCAGCTCAAGCTGAACGCCCGCTGAGCAGTGTGTGCCCTGCTTAGTGCACCTCAGGGGCAGCTGTCGGCTGGTGGATTAGAATCTGTGACTTTTTGGACACACCTTAACCACCATGCCACCAGTGATGCTTCATATTATTTTTAATTATTTTTCTTAATTTCATCTTTTTCACAATGGATTCACAACTTCGATTTAGGTCTAAAACCAGATGAAAGCTGTTCATTTCACATCCGATGACAGATTGGATTATTGCCCCAACATCTCTGTGTCTCTGTGTGTTTTCCCCTAGGATGCTCTTCCTCTGCTTCCTCCTGTGTGTCACCACATCAGTGGCCATGGGAAACATCCTGCTGCTGTCTGAGCCGCCACCACTGCTGCTGGTGTCCTTCGATGGTTTCAGGGCAGAGTATCTGCGCAGGTTTCCCATGCCTAATCTGGAGCTCCTTTACAGCCAGGGGGTCCTAGTGGAGGATCTTACCAACGTTTTTGTCACCAAGACGTTTCCCAATCACTACACCCTGGTAATAGCTGCAATGAAACTGTGTTGTCCAGATTTGATTAGATTTAGGCTAACAAATGTAAAGTAACATCACATTACATTTAGCAGACGCCTTTATGCAAAGTGACATAGTATATAATAATACATGATAAGTATTTTACTATCATTTGAAATGTATACTTTAGACATGTAACCAAATAATGGTACAATATTCTACTAAATAATTTTACTAATGTATATGTGCCTAATCGTTTTAATTATATTTAGAAATTCTTTTAAATACTGTGAGTGACACGGTCAACTGTATACAGTACATGCTGTGCACATAACACGTTGTTTGTGTTCACCAGGTGACAGGGTTGTACCCTGAGTCTCATGGCATTGTAGCTAGCCATATGTACGACCCCATCATCAAAGGTTACTTCCCCCAAGGCAATGATGAAAAGGAAGCTGTTTGGTGGAGTGAGGCAGAGCCGCTTTGGATCACAGCACTAGACTTTGGCTACAAGACGGCTGCCATGATGTGGCCCGGCTCCCACTATAGCTACAACAATCGCACGGCAACACACTCTGTCCCCTACAATTTAGAGGTCACCTTCCAGCAGCGGCTAAATAATGTGACACAGTGGATTTTGGGAAATGGAGAGGTAAAATGAAGTGTTTCTCATCAGCTCTCACCAGCTTCAGTTTGGTTTCCTAAGTTTGATCAACTTTGTTCTACATTAGGAGCCAGGAGCAAAATTTGCAGCTTTGTACTGGGAGGAGCCAGATAGATCGGGACACAAATATGGCCCCGACAGTGAAAACATGGCCAAAGCACTGAAAGAAGTAAGGACATAACATTTCAGACTTTTTCACGACACCGCAGCCATAGCTTCAGAGTTGGTGTGAAGATGTGTCTGCAGCTGGCGTCCAATGATCTGCTTCATCATATACTGCCTTCTTAGTGCTTGACTGAGACGGTCTTAAATGCAGCACATTATAAAACTCAGCGGCAAAGGGAGCCTTTAATAAAAAAGGCTAAGGAGCTGAGGAGATGTTTGAGATGATATAAAACATACAGTTTAAAATCTCAGGCCACTCTATGTATTTACTGTATCTGCAATGCATAGATTTCCTTGTCCCTGCATAGCCTTAAACAGCAGCTCTTTAACCAGGTAAATTAGGGATACATTCAGGATGTACCAGTTCATACCAGATCTACACAGGCGCAGAATCTTCCCAGAGTTCTTCAGCTAGGATAGTCGGCTTGGATCAGAGAGTTTCACTGGCTGCGTGTGAATAACTGCAACGCTTGTTTTATACTGTAGTGCCAAGAAAGAAGCTGCTTAAGAAATCAGTTACCCGTTATCTGGCCAGACTGGTTCCTAATTACACTTCTGCATCTGCGGATGCGTGTTGCAACATTTTTCCTGAAAAAACAAACACTGATTAAGAAACTTTGTGAAAAAACTTCTTAGGAAACACACTCACACACCAATTCTATGGAATGACAGAGCAAAGAGAGAGTTTGTACTGGCTCCGCAAGCCAAGTCATGACAGTGACAGACTGTGAGAGATCAAACTTCAGCGCTGCTTTCACGCTTTCATGTCACCAGGTTGATGACAATATTGGCCTGATTGTGTCCGAGCTGAAGCGTACCGGCCTCTGGGGTCACATCAACGTCATGGTCACCAGTGACCACGGCATGGCTCAGTGCTCGCCGGACCGCGTCATTCATCTGGACGCCTGCCTCCACCCTGACAACTACACACTGGTGGACATCACTCCTGTTGCCGCCCTCATCCCACGTGAAGGTAGTGTGTGTTCAGTTGTGGGAAGAAAAGGTAACTGGAACAGGAAGCTCTATTCATATTGACATTAATTCCAGATGCTCAGATGGTGTTTGACCTCCTGAACCACTGTCACGCCCACATGACGGCTTACATGAAGGAGAATATCCCAGAACGGCTTCACTACAGGAACAACAGACGCATCCAGCCAATTATATTGATTGCTGATGAAGGCTGGACCATCCTGCATAATGGGAACCAGCTCCGACGTAAGTCTTTCTTACCAGTTAGTTTGACCCAAGACTCCTGGTTACATAACCACAAGGTATGTAGATGTATTATTCTTAATAATGACAACATCCAGTAGCTCCTCTTACTCCTTCCTCCCTCAGTGGGCGACCATGGTTATGACAACTCCTTACCCAGCATGCATCCCTTCCTGGCAGCAATGGGACCCAGCTTCCGCCGACGTTATCGACTCAGCAATTTAAACAGTGTGGACATTTACCCACTCATGTGCCACCTGCTGTCGGTTCCCCCACGACCCAACAACGGCAGCCTGACCCAGGCTCTGTCCTTGCTGCACACGCAGCGTCAGAAGCTGGACCTTTCTCTGGTATTTACCCTGACAGTGGGCATCGTGCTGGTTCTATTTACCATCCAACGTAAGTCCTGATCACTGAAGGAGGATGAGCACGGTACAGTATACTGATGCAAAAGCATGAAAAGGGATCAAACACGTATCCCTGGGCAGTGCCACAAAAGAGAGAAGCACTGTGGAAGCATCTTTATACTGGAGTGTGATGTGTTTGTCCTGCATCGTATTAGAACCTTTTCAGTACAGAGTACCATTTATTTCATATTCTTGTGACTGCAGTACCGGTGTTTCAGCTGTAGTGAATGTTCCATGACAATGAGCTAATGAGTCCCACACAAAACAAACAGAAACAAAAATGCCAGGTGGCAGTTGACTTCTGATATCTAAAATGTGGGCCACAATCATCTGGATCTGTGATTGTAGGCTTTCTCTACAACACAGGTAGAGAAGTGTGAGCCACATTTTACACACAAGATGTTGACAAGTTCCAGTCCAGCCCTCAGCATCTAGACTAGTTTTTCCTGAGGGCTGGTCTGACGTTTGCTATTTTCCAATGTGGACCTTATTCTTTTGATCCTATGTTAAGCTACAAAAACTCCTTCCACACATGTTTCTGAAACTTACTTTGTAGCAGAAATACTTGCATACAGATACATGATCATTTCAAAAACCATGCGTGTCCATATTTGACCCATTAACTCCTTTATGTGAGAACTGCAGTTTACATTTCTGGGCAGCTGTGGATCAGAGGGGAAAGCCGCTCCTCTTCCAACTCTGGGTTCACCTGTTCCACCTGTCTACATACCAGTGTGACCCTGGGCAAGACCAAAATTTAGCTGACGACTGTGTGTGTGCGCGTGTGTGTGAATGGAATACACAGATGTTTGAAAGAAAAACCAAGTGAATGTGAGTGAATAGGTGTAGAAAAAAAGTTTAACGTGTTTCAGCGTTCATCATTTTGTTCAGGTAAAAGCGGCAGCTGAGTTTTTTCTTCTCTGATCATTAACAGGTGACTGTGTGTGTTCTTTTTTAACAATTAACAAACTAACTCCACTCCGCTCTTTAGTTCTTTTCAGGTGGCTGCGCTCTTACCGACAGTCGGGATCCCCGGCTTTTCACAGACTGGAGTGTAACGGAGATGTTGAACTTCGTGCAAATTCGTGCAAATAGATGGAAACAGAGGTGTGACACATACTAATCCTGCGTCTCCTGCTCATGCTCCAATAGGTATTTCACTCACAATGACTGGGCGAATTAGCTTCACACGGGAACGTGTGGGTTGTCATGTGCCGACACGAACGTGGTGTTTCAAACTCCTTCGGGCTCACTTGCTCTCGGGGCTGTTTTTGTGGGACAAGCACATTAATATCATGTTGGAATGTATCCTTATTGATAAAATGTTTTTAAAATGTGGTTAAATGAGGTGATGGCTGAGTCAGCACTGTGAGCAACCACTACTCACACACCTGAGATCCAGAGGCTTGCTCTCAGTGAGCAAGTTTTTTTATTATTGTTGTGTATGTACATGTTCCCAAAGAACATGATTTGTTCTCTTTTGGAACTATTCCAACAGTTACATTTAAATAATTACACCTGTGAGAAAGTTCATAGAGATAAACAGTGTTTTTGGATCACAGGGATGCATTCATTCTAGTCAAGTCATATTTTTCAGCATATGATATTTTATTTGAGAAAAAAACAAACCACCTGAGGCAGCAATGGTTCAGAGAGGTTTCAAATGTAACCCTGTGTTTGTTTAGTAAAACAGTGTGAAGATCCCTTAACTCTCCATAGAAAATCTTTACAGACGCCCTGTTCCCTTTGTTTTGTGCTGCCCGGTGCTTCTGTGTGTCGGTACCTCATACACTAGAAATGTTCCCAACTTGTCACTACTAACCAGCTGGATTTTCAGGTTCTTTGAGCTGCTTACTATCCCTTAACCAAATTACACTAAAACCGCAACAGCTGCTATTTAGAAGAGAGTATGAAGTCAAAGTGTGCAGCATAGTAAACAACTGTGAATCAGACGACTCCTCCTGCTGTGCAGGAGAGTGTTAGTATTACATTTACATTAAAATAGGTTTTTCAGTTGATGTTTTTTTTTTAAGTGATCCAGATTTTCTTGATCAGTCTGTTTATCTGAATATCAATGCACTCCTCCAGGTAAACTTGGTAGTCAGGTCAGCCACACCACCTTCTATTCCGGGTGTGTTTGTGATAGTGTTGTCAGACAAAGCTGCTGAAGACAAAGTCAGGGGAAAACACTGGCTGTATATGAGAAAGACGAGAAAGACGAGAAAGACTCATGAAGTTACTACTGTAAACAGTGTGTTTGTGACACACTTGAAACTGGGCGCTTTATCTCCATGAATGGCTCTGTGTGTTACTAAAGGTCTCATTTCATATTGTATTTGTTATGATCATTGTCTTATTTCTATAGTTGTAGTATGACTCCTGCGTCAACAGAGGGAGCCAGAAGCTTATTTGTTTCATAATCTACATGCATATCAGTCGAAAGTTAGTTGCAATTTTCTATCACACCTTCAGAGCCAAAATGTGACCTCTGGAGAAAACAGTTCAAAAGATGACAATTTTTTTATTTGTCTAAATGTAGCCATTTCACAACATTTTGAGCCAGTTTTTCAACAGAGTTTTTCTAACTGCTTTGTACGCTATGTTTTTGGCTGCTTTAGTTGTGACTATGAATCTACATATATATGTAATTAATTAATTTGATTTAATTGTAAACTTCTAGTTATAGTTTGACCTGATTTTAAGCACAGATGGACATATTTTATGCTTTTAGAAAAATGATCTATCTATAGGTTATATATATATATATTTATATATCTTCATAGATTTTACCAATTTCTGTATAAAATGAGCTACTTCTGAGCCATGTGATGCTAATGTTCAGGCTAACTATTTATATTTATACTATGCCGACACTGTCTTTCTCACTTCATTCTAGTTCAGTGATTTTTAACCACTGACATAGATGTGTTTCTTCAATCCCTGCATGTTTATCAGACTTGTGTTCAACTAAACAGGTCAGGGTTTAATATGAGTAAGTACATTTGGAGTGGAAATGGACATTTCAAATATGGTCATTAAAAGTAAGAAGAGAGAAAAGAAATACACATAAACTTGATATAACTAGAAGTATGTCCCAAACATTCGTGGGACATTTTTGTTTGGTGGTGAGCTCTAGTATTTTTCTAATATTTGCCGTGACTCAAAAAAGGGTAGGAGACACAGCTATAGGTGAATCTTTAAACTCTATTTACGAGGTTTGTGTTAGTTGTTATGCTTTGACAAACGGCTGCGGCTGGCTTTGTCCTGCTGGTTCTTGTTATACTATGATTTGTCTTTGGACTCTGGTAAAGCCATGGGTTTAACCACTTGTTTTCATTTAAATCTTTTGCGTTCATCTACTGGTTTGTTTCATAGCTGTTCATAAAAGGTGGCAAGACGTACTTGTGTCATTGTGTTTTTGTTTTACAGTTTATAAAACAGAGATTAAAATTATTCAAGTTTTCATGTGCCAGCCTACTGGGATTCTTACTCTGAATAAATGTATTTTAAAAAACCCAAACCTTCTAATCTGTTCTCATTCAAAGACGCAGAGACACATTTGGAAAAATTACTTCATATTCCTTTATATTTTTTTGTCCATCGCAGTCACAATGTTACAATGTAATAAAATGGTAAGTATATAAAACCAAACTCAGTACTGACACAAATACATTTCTGTATCATGTTGTGAAACCAAAATGAGCTGTACATGTTTTCTGTTCCACATTTCTTTAGAGTGTCATCGTTTTAAAAGCTGTCATAGTTTCTCTGTTTGTCTACTGTATGAATCCTCCCCGCACATAAATAGACTTTATTTCCTCTGCAGGTAATTGTAACAAAAATAATGTATATTTGCTCTTGTTCACCACCGAAAATAGCCTTTTGAAAACTCTGTCACAGAATAATCCTCCTCTGCTGTCATTGACACAGAAAACACAGACAAACCGGAGAAACTTTCTGTTTTTCTTCTTCTTCTTCTAGTTGTCTTTTTGTCTCTCCAGTTGCTGCTCACAGACAAATGTTTTTAGCATGGAATATAAATTGACATTTTATGAGGTAACGCAGGAGTTTTCGATGAGCGTCGTCATTTCTACAATGAAGGCAGAATGTGTGTCAGCCAGGATTTTAGAAGTAAGTGAATAAATGAATGGATTTTTTTTTAAATGTTCTGTCAAACCATCATTTGAATCTTATGAACAACGTCTCATTTAAACACGTTTCCAACACTGCATCCTATAGTTTAGACCTCCATCATATACATACTCTGGTCTTAACAACTGTCTTTTTATCATTTTCATCAATTGTCTTTGAATTTTACTGACGTTTTCTAGAACACGTGACATTGTATTGCACAATTTTATATCCTGTCATTCTGACCTTTTGTTATTTCCACTTTTTAATTTCATCCTCCAAATTATTTAAATTGTACATTTTCATCTTACATTTCTCTCTCACGCCACCTTGTGGTAAGGACATCACAATTTAACCTTTCTGTCTCCCATCTGAGAACCCGTTCCTGGCTGACATTTCTACGACCCACTGAAGACGACGCGACGCAAAAGACTCCTTTGAAAACACAGTTTCAGTCAACGTCATATTTCCCCTCCTCTCCACATGAATACATTCCAGGTATTTATAGATAACATTTACCTTCAGTAACTATTAAGCAAACAAACTGACAGGAGGTGGGTCAGCACAACAAAGTATTTACAATCAAAAGGTCAACCACAGGAAAAAACAAAATACTTTTACACGTTCAAAATCTCTACAGCTACTTTTTTTTTTTAGTCTAAACTGAAGAACAAAAAAAAGAAAAAAAAAAAGCATGACCTCAAACAGAAGCTGATGTTTGGTCTTCAACCTTCACGTGAAGGTTTTCATCAGACCCTGTGCTGTGCTTTTCAGGCTCCAGACCTGAGTCCAAACCACTGAAATCCTTCCTTGTCTGATTCCCAAAGGTTTTTATTCTCAGAAAACCCTCATTTAGACTTTTTTTTATTTTTCAAAAATATATCCAAGGCTGTATCAAAATGATGGGATTCAAATTGTTATTCTTATGTTTCTTGTAACAATGGTATTAAATATCAGGCATTGGATTTTGCAAAGTCACAGATTTAATTTTCATCTAATTAATTAAACCCTTTTCATAATTTACTTTTTTTTATTAAAATAGTGTAGAATAACAGTTTTCTATTATGTTTCAATTGTAGTTCAGTATGTTCTAGTATTGGCTTCACTTTTGTTATGATAATATTAAAACTGAGGTATTCAACAGAGGGCCGCGGCCCTTAAGAGGGTCCGCAGAGGTTTTGAAAGTGTCTTTAAATATTAATTTTTATAAGTAGACGCAGTTTTATACTATGCGTATATACAGTACTTCTGTCTAATAATTGTAACTCACTTTATATTTGAAGATTTGGGGTTTTTTTTTTCCTTCTCTCCTTTTCCTTCTTCTCTTTTAGACAAAACTTCAGGTTGTGAAAGACAAAGATTTCAGTTGTGCTTAAGCTTAGGTCCAGATGAGTCTGACTTTGAGTTCAACAAAACCAGGGCGAGTGACAGTGATTTTTCCCACAGCTCTGCACCAAGACACTGGAACTTTGGCTGAACGGAAAAAAGCCATTGTGAGCATCTCACACACACACACACACACACACACACACACAGACCCTGATAGAGAATTAGTTACGTGTTTCTGTAAAGAAAAAGTGACAGAAGAACTTTCTGCTTGTTTACGATCAGATACACATTCCTCATCTGGGAATTTGCATCTGTCATAATTATTTCCAAAGTAAACTTTTACATATTTTGACTAATTCCAACTGATAAATAACCAGACAGAAAAATAGGTTTAAAATATAAAAAAGTTTCTCATGTATCAAATACAAAAAGATAAAAATACAAGTTCTAGAAGAGATAGTTCAGGTTTGTTGACTTTCTTGTGGTTGTAGGAAGTCGTCTGATGTTGGTGCTGCCTCAACAACGGGTTAACTGCTCTACTTCACTCTTACGCAAACAGGAAAGCCCCCCACACTGGAATCAGTTGTTGATTTCAAATTTGAAATGTGCTTCTGCTGTTCCGCTGCCTTGTGTGGTCGGTTTGGGAAACTCAGATGGATTTTAAACTCCACAAAGCTAACTCACGCCTAACACATTAAAACCGACTGACGGAGGCAGCAGGAAACCCACAACTCCAACATGATGCGGTGTCAGGTTTCTACTGTGGAGTGTAGGAGAGAGTGACCTGTTCTACAGTGACAGCCACATCATTGACTCTGAGAGGAACCTCCTACAAACACACTTCAAAAAGCCCTGAACTATCTGTTAGATAAATATACATGTGATTTAATAATAAAATAAAAACAAATGGCACCAATTTGCTTTAAACTCCTTTGATCTCTTTGCTGTAAAACAGGCAAACGATGAAGGTTCTTAAGACATGTATGAGAACAGTGATGTGGTTTTGTAAAGGTCATTAGAAAAAGCCCAGAACCTTCTGTCTGATCACTTGCATAGCTGTGGATGTGAAGACAAACTATCAGTGACTGCTGTGAGACTGAAAGGGGGAACGTTCATGTGTGGCTCTCAGACTCTGCTGGCTCATTGAAAAAAAAGCAAAACGGTGACACCTGCAGTCTGAGAAGTGTAACCGCAGCCCAGTCTGAACGACACACAATTGATTCCCTACAGAGGTGTGTGTTCTGTTGGCTCTGTCGGACCTGATTTTGGCTTTGTGATCCTGGTCTTTGATTGGCTGCAGCTCGAGGTGCAACAAGGGCTGTGGTTTGGGTCAATAGATGAGGTCAAAGGTCAGTGCTAAAAGAAACAAGGGAGGAGATGCTCTGCAGGTCAATGTACAGGGAATCTCCTTTTACAAGTGCGTTCACAGGGAAGAGAAAGCTTCGTTTTAATCAACCTGCTGCGAACGGCCAACACCGCAGCAGATCAGGGCGGGTTTGTCCTAAGATTAGCCCCAATAAGAATTTTACTCTCGATTTAAATGTTTTCGTTCTGTTAGTTCATACATTTGTATGTCCATTTCTTCTTGTAAATTATTTCTCAAGATCGATTTCTCATTAGGACTGATGTGTTAAAACACTGTATGTAAAAGAGTCCCATCACCCAACAGTTAGCTTTTCTCTTGGTGTGAACACACCCCGAAACACAGAGCTGTGCTTCTTTAAACCTCCTTAAAAGCACCACAGTTAACGTCTTATTTTTCCTACAAACACATCACACGTGCCCTTAAAATCTAGAACATTCATGCAAGAAATTCACGAGCACGATCTGTGAGACGTACACGACTGTCTCCACTCTGGTCTCTAAATGGCACATATTCATTTCTATTGTCATTTCTTTTGTTTTCTTTTTTTTTTTTTTTTTAGGACATCAAGCTAACACGGAACGACGTTTCTGCATCTGGACTCCTGGGCCTGAGCTTCATGTGCAGTCAGTGCACGTTCAGGTCAGAGTGCACATCAAAGGGGCGTCACCTTCCTGATCTTTACAGTCCACAGCTTCAGTGTTCAACCAGGGATGTCCGATAACATTGGCCAGTGTTAGCATAATTAATGTGATATCGGTGAGAATTGTTGTGGGTTCAAAAATACAAAGAGAGAGGTTATTCCTCCAATTATGAAAACCCGATAATGGCCGGGCTTCAGATCGCCTGATTGACATCTCAGCTGAGGACAAGTTGTGACAGCGATGAAGGATGTCGCGCGGTCACGTGCACTCTGTCCACAGGTCACTGACACACACCGGTTCCTCTGCGGTGAAACACTCAGGTTTTTCTAAACCTATTTGGCTAAGTTCTTCAACAACACTGTGATCACAACTATACAAAAACCCCAACTTGACTCAATAGCACCATTTGAATATTGTTCCCAAATTATAAAGGGGTTCGGGATTATTATACTCTAGTGTGTGTGTGTGTGTGTGTGTGTGTGTAAAGCTGCTTTCAGACCTGCGACGAAGTCTTAAAAATCTCCAGAGATTGTCTCCAGTGGTCACACACATCTGTGGAAATAGTTCTGGAGATTCTGTAGAACTTCTCCTGGTCCTGGGTCCAACCTCTGGTCATTGTCCAGGTGAGACGCTCTGGTCGTAGTCTGGTCTTAGTAGAATCAGGATCCACAGACATGAGGCGAGCGTTGTTCCCAATAATCAGATGTTCCTTGGTGTCGAAGGGACACCAGATGTGAGCGGGACCAAGATCCTCCACAGATACTCGTCACCTGTGAATAGTGAACTCCAGAGAAGGTCCAGATCACGTCTGAAAACAGCTTCTGAGTGTGTGTGTGTGTGTGTGTGTGTGTGTGTTTTAACGCTATGAGGTAGGGATTCATCCCATAGTTGTCGTCTCAGGTGTGTACTAAGCTAAGGAGAAAACCCTGTGTGTCTGTGTGTTATACTGTGCATGTACAGAAGTGTGTGTGTGTGTGTGTGTGTGTAATGAGTACACTAAGCACATCTCCCTGTGGTGGAGACTTGCATAGCTTCTGCAGGACAGGAGGAAGAGCAGTTGTCCGTTTGGACGTAGCCTTTGGCACAGCCGCGGCTGATGACTGAAGGCAGTCGCACCACCAAAGAGTTCAAAGAGACAAACTGCCCTGAATGCACCATAAGTGTGTACGCGTTTGTTCGTCTCTGCACCATATGAAGTGGGGTTAGCAGCCAATCAGCTCTATAGCTCCGGTGTTTCTCTGTTTCGCACCACGTGATCCTCAACATCGGCGATGAAGACGATGGCAATGGCGGCGCTTCTGCTGAGCGCTGGCGCCTACGCAGAAACTACTAGCAGCAAAAGAGGCGTTTTGCCATTGAAATTGTCTAGCACCACGTGAAAAGCAACGGACGCTCACGACTAGATGACATTGTTCTAGATCATTCCTACACCTCTAGTGACGTCACTCTTCTTTGTGTTTGCTAGAATGGTGGATTGCTCCCTGCCAGGCTGGCAGTTGTTGCCTTGCTGGATGTTTTTTGGTTCAGCCTTGGTCAAAGTTGACTCTTTATTTTATGATGCTCTGTCTCCCTGTGTGAGAATTCTGAGGGATTTTGGATTGTCTGACTGTGAAAAGTCCTTAAACATTCCTAAAACCGTAAAAAACAAAAAATCTGAATCTGAACTGGTCACTTTGGGGACCTCTGGTGGCCCACATCTGCTGGTGTCCAGAGTTTGGGGTCAATCCAAACTAGCTCTGTTCTACCATAAGGCCGGACCACGGCGGTTCCACTGATCTGGAGCATGTGTGACACAGTACCAGAGGAGTCCTGTCTCAGTGTGTCTGTGTTTCACCTCCTGATGGGTTTGTTGTTCCTGTTGAGCATACACNNATAACAGTTTGGATTGGAGGAGTTAACAAACCCAACCACAGAGTGGCTCTGCATCACAGCTCAGCTGGAGGCGTCTCTGTGGCGTCCCCACTGGACCCAGTAGGAATGACTCTCAGTGCTGTGCTAAGTTTTACTGCTGTGTACTTTATTATTCTTTTGATATCGATTGTTTCATTGGACTTTGTCTTCTTTAATCATTCCATTGTTATGAGAACACTGTCTGGAAGTGACGTACTCGGAACGGGTCCGTGGTACATAGAAGGCAGGCTACTGTTAGCTGTACAGGATGGTGACGGGTTCTCTACGTTTGTGAAGGTGTGTGTAGTGGTTTTGCGATGTTTCTGTTGCCATCTCTGATGATCAAAGCTTCCTGTGACACTAACGTATGTTTTTAATTTTCTCTTTAGTGTGTCAACAATCTGACCATTTTTTTTTACCCTTACTTTCAAAGTATTTGTATTACACAGGACACAGAAAAGTCCTCCCGACTTTCCATAGAAAATATTTACACTGCCTCAGACCAACTCCTGGACAATGTCCATCCATCCATCCATATTCAGCCGCTTATCTGTTACCGGGTCGCGGGGCAGCAGTCTCCACCCAATTCACATTGCACCGTATCAACCCCCCTGAACCTTCCTGCAGGTGGTGAATCCACTGGAAGGTACCAACCGCCCTAACTGGGATTCGAACTTGCCCAGGAGGTGAACCCTGGGGTTCCACACCAATGACAGAGACGTTGCCTCTGGGCCAAAGCGCCACCCTGGACAATGTAAACCTTATCAAAAACTAACGTTTGGTCTTTGTTAATCGCTTTCGTTCGCTAAGACTGAAGCCCGCGCAGCGATGCAAACGTGAGAATGGACGACAAATAACTTTGATTAATTCTCAGGTCAGTAGGTCACGTTCCTCTACAGCCGACATGGAGGCAATATTAGTTGCCGTAGTGGAAATATGTCACATGTCCAATTCTCGTGAAACGTTCTCTAAATGTTCCGGTCTTGTTTTTTTTATTCACCCAGAGTTGATGGACCAATAAAATATGGTTGTTAGCATAAGGCATTCGACGACAGGTTTCTAGCCTTCAACTTCTACTAACCCGGTTACTATATCCAGATACTAGTTTGAATGGATAGTAGAAGTTTGAATAAAAAGTAAGTGCCGTGGTGAGGAAGCCATGTGACTGAATCATCCAATAAGAGTTTGGATGGAAGAGACGTCGGAACAAAAAAACAGGGCTAACTGAAAATCATGAGGCTTCAAAACGTTTGTTTCAAATATACTGCGTGAACTTGTTGTTTGATTGTACAATCTATAGTGTGTGTGTGTGTGTGTGTGTGTTTGTGTGTCTGGCTGTGTGTTTGTCTGATTGCTTCTCTGTCAGTGTGCTTTAACCCAGTGTGATGAATACATCTGTTTTACTCTCTCTGATGTGTGTGTGTGTGTGTCAGAGCGAGGACTCGTACTGTAACAGTTCGTACAGTAACGGTCCGTCTCTGTAACGTATCCCTACAGCACCTGGTGTTATGTACTGTAGGATGTTTATGGTCCTCCTCAGACGCCGGTCCACGTAGTGAGCGTCCCACGCCGGGTAACGCTTCCTGGGCATGTCAATCTTAATGAGCGGGCCCTCGGGCTTGGAGGTGGGAGTCGTTGACCTCACCTGGAAGACGGGAAGACAGGTCTCGGCCACGTCCTCCTCTGTCTGCGACCTGGTCATGTGGGCCGGTGTGGGCGGGGCAGTGGGCGGGGCGGACGGCGGCAGGGGGAGGCCCCAGAGCAGCTGGGCGCAGCAGGAGGAGGCGGGGCTGGGCTGCAGGTGGCCCGTGGCTGGATGCATGAAGCCGTAGTACAGCAGCATGACCAGAACGCCCCCGGCGAAGGTCAGGTAGACGCCCCACAACGCTTGGGAAGCATAGGAGTCAGTGAGCAGCGGGTCTCTGTAGGCGTACCTGGAAGACAAAGAGGACAAACAACGAACATGTTGTCATACGCCAAAGTCCAGGGTGTCCTCAAGAGTCCATTTGTCCTGACTGGGACACAGGGATACAGGGACATGTCTCTCAGACCTGATACTGATACAGTGGGGCTTCAAGATAACAGCAGTCGTGTGTCGATCCACTCGACGTACTCTATTTGCATTTTCCACATTAAAAATGATTAAAAACTCCAATTAATCTGTTCCAGCCCCCCAGAAATATGTTATTAATAAATAATTAAATTAAAATTCCCCTCATCTCAACATCAAAAACATAGATATAAACAATTATATTCATAATATAAAATAATAATAATTAAGAAAACATTTTATATTATTGTAATAAAAATGGGTAAAATAACCCAGCGAGGGACAGCGAGCGCGACAGCGTCGAAAAATGGAGCTCGGTTGTCGTATCACGACAAAAGTTGTTTACTCGTAACTTTAAAAACTGGTATTTCAGGGAGCTCCACTGTACTCATATTGGTATCAGTCAAATCAAATCTTTGTTTAGGTTTTTTTTTCCTGAAAGGCAGCCATGTTTTTAGGTCCATGTTGGAGCCTTTAAAGGACGCAGGGCTGGATGTGAGGCCGTACTCACCACAGTCCGGTGAGGATGGTGTTCTCAGCCAGCACCACGGTGTAGTAGACCACCATCCTGTAGCGCGTCTGTCCCTCCTTAACGTTGAACCAGCAGAAGATGTAGACGATGCCCACCACCATGTTGAAGAGCACCTCCTCCCACTTCGACATGCAGAAGTCAGTGCCTCCATGAACCACCCAGAAGGCCATGGCGCACCAGTGAAGCACCACGAAGATGCCGAAGTAGATGTGGAAAAGGGAGGCGAAGAGCGCCAGCGAGAGGACGCGGGATGAAATGGTGAACAGGCGCCAGAAGAGGTGCAGCAGCGCCCCCCTGTAGCTCATACCGCGCTGGTCATCCCTGGAGTCTCGTAGAAGTTTGTGGTAGGAGGCCAGGACCCAGGCCAGAGACAGGAGTGAGGCCAGGGAGGAGACGCCTTTGGAGGAGAGAGGTTAACAACATAAAGACAAGACAGGAGGAAGAGGAGCAGAAAGTGGGAAAGAAAAGGGATTTATGATTGGATTTATGAGTCATCCAGTCTGAACAAAGTCCAGTCATGGTTTTAAGACTCAGAAGAACTATTTTTAGTTGAGTGTGGGAAGAACCCTTTTCAAAAAAAGACACAGCAAAAGAGTGACGCAGCACTGAACTAAAAGTGACTTCACAACGACTCATCGATTATTTTGTTGTGTAGGTTTGATCCTTTAGTCGTCATCTGGACCAACACTGAGACATGTGTGGCTCATTTACCCCCAGCTACATTTATTTTTAACATTCACACTGATTTAATGAAATGAATTCATTAAAATCCTGATGAACGACGGCCTCGGCCAGAAAAAAGCCTCCAGTCATCACCCAGCTCATCAGCTAACAGCTAATTACTCTTTGATTGTTTGTGGTTAAATCTGTTTTCCTTTGGTTCAGTTTACACCTACACTGCAGCGTCTCGGCCCGGTTCTCCTGGATCATGATGCAGAGCTGCAGGACCAGCTGAGGAGCAGATTCTAGAAAGGTCTCCAGCAGACGCAGCATGTTGACGTCGGCGTACTCGAACATCATGGCCCAGTACCAGCGCCGCTGGTGTTCCTCCTGACGCCGGGACATCACGCCCAGGTAGAGGGTCCTGATGTATCTGGTCAGAGGGTCAGAGGGTCAGAGGGTCAGGGGTCAGAGACTGTTCACATCACACACCACAAAAAGTCTGGGTCAGGATTAAAGATAATCTGATCTCAAATTAGTTTCAGAGCTAGATTTTGAGCAGGAACCAGGAACAGTACCAGCAGTAACTGATGGTCTCCTGTATGGAGATGTTCCTCACACTAAATGACCATGGTGTGGAGGAGCGAGGACGATGAACTAGGATTAGTACCAGGAAGTGGTTGCCTTTGCTCTGCAGGAACACGTTGGAAACATTAGCGTGAGTGTTAGCATGCAGACGGAAGCTTCTTCCTCTAGGTGGTGCATTATTAATGGTCGGTGAATTAGGCTTGTGTGTGTGTGTGTGTGTGTGTGTGTGTTTTCAGCCAGATGTCTGTAATTGTCTCTGAACATACAGTACAGAGACATGCATAATGTAAGAGATGTGTCTCACACACACACACGCAGACACGCAGACAGTGACAGAGACACACACTGATTTCTAGTACAGAACATGAAGTACAGAACATTTTCCAAACAACGTGCAGCTCCTCTGGCCTCTGGACACTCCACTGTAACTGTAACAGTACAGTGGACGCCCTGGACAACAGCTTCATAAATAGGAGTATTCTAATTGAAACTATTGCGAGACGTTGCTCCTGATACGAGGAAATATCTGGTTAAATCCTTATCAAATAGAATCCTTCTCCTACTCTTAGTGACACTCTGTCTCACTGACTGACTTGGTTATTTTACCCTTTTGTATAACAATAATATACAATAATTATTATTTTATATTGTCAACATATTTGTTTATATCCATATTCTGATGTTTTGATTGGAATTAATTAACAGTATATTCCTGTGGGGCTTAATTAATGGGGAAAATTTGATCAAGATACGAGTTCTGTCGTAGAACAGAAACCAAACCAACTCTACTCAGTTAAGGTTGTGGGTTGATGTGCGTTACAAGCATCAGTTTCTGTAGAACCTCTACGGTGATGTCGTCCTTCTGTCTGTGTGTCTTTGACTGAACATGGGTGAAGGTTAAAACTCCACGTGGTCCAGGCCGGACGCTTCCCGTCGGCCGGACGTGACCACAGCCTGGTCCAGGCCGTCAGTCCACATGTACTCAGTTACAGCAGCTCACTCTTCCTCACCTTCACCCACCCTCCCCCCTACACTTTCACTCTTCCTCTTCTTTCCTCTCCCCTCCCCCAGTTTGTTCCTCAGTCGTTGGTTCACTTGTGTATTTGCAGCCTTCCTCCTCCTCCTCCTCCTCCTCCTCCTCCTCCTGTGAACGGCCCTGCCCCTCCTTCTCCTCCTGCATCTCTAAGCAATCTGTCTCAATCAGGGTCGTACCATTTCTTTAGCAACATACATCAATGTGTATGTGCAGCGCCCTCCCCTCCTTCATCGCCCTCCTCCTCCTCCTCCTCTTCCTCCTCCACTTCCTGTAGGTGGGAGAGTCCATTCTGCAGCCCAGAGGAGAGGATGCGGTGTTGCAACGTGGTGCGTTCTGGGTGGGGTGGAATGAGTGTGTGTGTGTGTGTGTGTGTGTTAGAGCTGATTTAACTCTACAACCAGGAGAGAGACAGTGAAAGCTGAGAAGCACATCTCTATAGCAGATCAAGGCGCAAAAAAAAACACACACTCACACACACACCCACACACAGTGCTCTCCCTGCTGCTGCCTGAAGACAGAGTGGACACCATTAAGAAGGGAATCTTAGAGGGAAGGAGGAGGAGGAGGAGGAGGAGGCAGTACTGTCTGAGTGAAAGGACCTGCAAAAATGTACTATTAACTGTTCAGACCTGATTGGAGGACACAGGAGCCCGCAGAAGCCAAAACACACACGCACACACACACACACACTACTCAGATTATACAGAAAAAAAAGTGTTGGAACAACAGAAAATACCGCATGTGTGTGTGTTTCTGTTTTTCCCGCCAGTGCGTTTAGCACTTCAATTAGCACCCAACCGTCGTCCAATTGTGTGTGTGTGTGTCAGTGTATGTGTGTGTACGTCAACACGGAGTGCGTTGCCAAAAGCACAGATGCTTTTGCTCTTTTTGCTCCACAGGCCGACTGACACTCGTGGTGAAGAGGCCACCACACCGTTTTTCCACTGGTCTCACACAGCGCTACACACACACACACACACACACACACACACACGCAAATACAGAAACACACAAAAGCCACAAATTAGGTGCTGAGGCTAAAACGCTGTCCATGGTGCTGAAAGATGGACCGCGTTTCTTTTATTGGTTGTTTGGTTCAAAACCTTCTGACAGTAGTGAGCGCCCCCTACAAAACATTTGATCAAATTCTGAATTTTCTACATGTAATGTTCAGTACCAAACTTTATGAACTGCTACCTCTGCAGTGTGTTGAGAAAACCAGCGATTTAAGCTGAGGTTGAAAAGGAGCTGCTGCCCCACTGCTGCCTCCTGTGGTCAGTTTTAAAAGTGTACGGTGTGATGAATATGTTTTAAAGTCATACTGACTGTTGGAGGCACAGATGGACCAGTGACTCTCGTCTGCATGACGTAGAAATGTGTGATTTGGGTTATGGACATTGGTGAAAGTTACGTTTCCTGTTTAAAAAGAAACTCAGACCTGAGTCCTGATCAGACCTGAGTCCTCATCAGACCTGAGGCCTGATCAGACCTGAGTCCCGATCACATGTCAGTCCTGATCAGACCTGAGTCCTGATCAGACGTCAGTCCTGATCAGACCTGAGTCCTGATCAGGCCTGAGTCCTGATCAGACCTGAGTCCTGATCAGACGTCAGTCCTGATCAGACCTGAGTCCTGATCAGACGTCAGTCCTGATCAGACCTGAGTCCTGATCAGGACTGAGTCCTGATCAGACCTGAGTCCTGATCAGGCCTGAGTCCTGATCAGACCTGAGTCCTCATCAGACCTGAGTCCTGATCAGACCTGAGTCCTGATCAGACGTCAGTCCTGATCAGACCTGAGTCCTGATCAGGACTGAGTCCTGATCAGACCTGAGTCCTGATCAGACGTCAGTCCTGATCAGACCTGAGTCCTGATCAGACTTGAGTCCTGATCAGACCTGAGTCCTGATCAGACCTGAGTCCTGATCAGATGTGAGTCCTGATCAGACGTGGTTCTGGTTCTGATGTAGGATTGTGTTCTGATTCTGGTTCAGGTGTATGCCCTGGTCTGGGTTTGGTCCTGACTTGTCTGTGGGCTTCGCTGTGGTTTGTGTTTCCTCCTACAGTAGGTGTGTGTCATGGCACCGGTTCAGGTGTACGTTCTGGTCTGATTTGGACCTCGGTGCGTGTTCTGCTCTGGTTTTGCTGCTCTTTACCTCCACACTTGCCCCAGCTGGAGGATGTGGATGACGGCCTGCCACAGCCAGATGGTGGCCAGCTGCAGGCGGTCTCTGCCCGGGTAGAGGCAGCCCAGAGCCACGGCCCCCCGCTTGCTCAGCCCCTCCACCTCCCCGAGCCCTCCGCCCGTGTAGTCCTGCACGAACCAACGGAAGCTCAGGATCTGGACCAGCACCGACGGCACCAGCACGAAAAAGAGAGTGAGGCCGAACCAGAGGTAGTCCCGCCGGTGGTAGTAGTCCGCGGCCAGGCACAGGTCTGTGCCCACGTCCCAGAAGAAGACCAGCAGAGCCAGGATGATCCAGAGGCAGTCCAGCCACAGCTGCTCCCGGGGCGGACAGTGGGTCTCCCGGATGATCCCGCCCGCTCCGGTGCCCTGACCCCCGCCGAGCAGCGAGCCCAGGCAGGCGGAGCGGCAGCCCCAGTAGCAGGCGGAGGTGCGACAGCACTGGCAGATGTGAATGGCGGCGGAGTCCAGCGGCTCCTCCGCGTCCACGTCGTACAGCTGCGCGAAGCCCTTACCGGCGCCGCCGCCTCCGAAGCCGAGCCCGGCTTTAGCGCCGTCCGACTGCGCGGCCATGTTCGCCTTGCCGCTCCTTCCCTCCTGAGAAACGCACAACACTCGCACCGTTTTGCCTGCTGCTCCACGTCACTTCCCAGAATCCCGATTCCCTCTCCGCTCGCGCGCCGCGGCGACTGTGTCTGTTTCCCGCTAGGAGCGCGAGGAGCCATCAGAGCCTCCGGCCGCGCGACGGCGGCTCCTTCTACTGCTGCTCCTTCCTCCGCCTTCTACTCCTACTCCTCTTCCTCCTCTGCGTCCTCTCACCTCCAGCAGCAGAGTCAGCTCAGCATCATCTTCTTCTTCTCCGTCCTGCTCTCGGTCATCCAGGTCGATGGGACAGGCTATGACGTAATGCTGCTGACGTTCTCTTCTCAAACCAAGTGTCAGTGAAAACAGTGAATGCATGCCTGGATATTTATAACTCGAACTAAATCCATCAACATGAACAGAAACTCTTTCTCTGATCCATGAGTTTCGTGTCCTGAGGAAAACGATTTCCTGTTCCGTTTGTATCCCGATCACAGAGCTCACGGTAATGGCGGTTTAACTGTTATATAACGGCTCCACACCAACAAAGAAGACCAAACTTTCTGATTGGTATATCAGTGACTGAAACCTTGAGCAAAAAAACACAAAAATGTCGATTATTTTGTATTTATTAATTGCCAGCGTTATTATAATATAATAAACAATATAATATTAAATCTATGAAATCACTGAAAAAATAACAGTCTTCTAGTTTGGCTAAAGTTTTTGTTTATTTTTGTTATTTTTAAGCCACTTGCTAACGCTTAGCTTTAGCTTTAGTTTGTAGCCATCTCTGGACTCTTTTGCTAACGTCAAGCTCTTCCTGAGCAACACTTTGGTCAAATCTTTCTTTCTTTCATAGTTTGTTAAGGTCACAGTTTAGATCACTGATTTTTTTTTTTACCAATCTTTGTCATCCATCGGTTCATCAATCTCTCTATCAAATCAGTCTGACTTACAAACACACACACAAACACACACACACACACACACACCGGGAGAAACCCCGGGACCAATTACAAACAGAAGGATAGATTTACAAAGGGATTTTGTGAATTAGATGCCACGACTGTCCATGGATTGAGTGTGTGGTTCTTCCTATACAGGGTTGAAGGATTAAAATAGATAGAAAAGATGAGTCAGGCTGAATCAGCCCAGATAGAACAGGAGGATTTAAGGAGTTGTTGGGAAAAAAAATGGAGGAGTAATCTGAGACAGAAAGAGGAGGAAAAAAATATGAAAAGGTTTTTGATTCTATGATGTCACCAGTTTAGAGTAAGAGTTTACTTACTTTACTACTCAGGTCACGTTATAAATAAATCACACAATTAGACTTGAATTGATTATGTTTGAAATGGATTTTATTTGTTATTATATATTTATTGATTTGAGCCAAATGACTGTGATGTCATCACACACTGACCCAGAGCTGAGATCTCTGCTGCTCCGTGTGGTGCGTTTGTGTCAATGCAATAAAATCAATTTTATATGTCACGGTCAAAACAATGACATATTAAAAGGCCATGATGGAGAGAACAGTCTGTCTGTCACATCTCTGTTCTGTTCAGGACGAAACGTGTTTTTTTGGTTGTTTTTTTTTTTTTTAATGGAAACTGTTGGAAGTGGCAGTTTACAAACCTCAAGAACTGTTCCTTTAATTCCAGGCACTCTCATTGTCTGACACTAACATGCATACATACATGCACACCAGACACACACATGCACACACACTGTCCTTCACCTGCAGAGTCAAGGTTGT